GTTTAGATGTAGTTTTTGATGGAGATTACGAATCTGCTATTATTTTTTGTGAAAATATGTACATGAAGAATGAAAATTCTAAAGTATGAATGAATTTTGGCATGTAATTCAAGACTTTTCAATAATTTCATAGGCAATGGTTGCTCTAATTACACTCATAAATCCCATTTTCGACGGGCTTTCATTTGGTATAAAACCCATTACATCCCCTATTTGAAATTATTGCGTTACCCCCCGGGCAAAATATTATTTCCAATCGTATATAATAGAACACAGTAAGAACGATGATTTCAAATTGAAAATGTCACTTGAAATACAAGCTATTAGATCTACATGTTTATCTCATATGTGTTAGACAAAGTCACTATTAAAATTTTTACCAGTCCTGTTTCTGAAATTATTTTTTGATTGAACAATATTTGAGAGCTTCTAATGATGTGTACTCAAGAACAGAATAACTTAGAAAAAAAACTGTTCGAATTGCTCTCATATTTAACTAGCACTAACCGTCAGGAGACAACTGAGATGTGTATCTTTTTTACTGTCATTTTTTTTAACTCACCAAGTTCATAAATCTAAATAAGACCCGATAATCTCACAGCTGTATAGTCTTATGAAAAATTACTGTATATTCAAAGGTTATTGATATTTCGCAAAATATAACAAATATTGAATGCTGACCTAGGGTGTGAGTGTGGAGAATGACCTCTCCGTAAATACACCTACACCCACACCCTCCAAATTCTTGTCTGCTTGGGTATCATCTTCCAACACCACTTTTTATTCATTAGACGTTCAAATGCATACACCGTATTATTGAATATCCATAGAAAAAGAAATTTAAATAGTAGAAAAGAAGGATGTATCAAACGCCCAACGAAAAAAAATTCTTAACTTTCGAAGCAATCAAATAGTGACAGTACAATACCCATCACTATGTCAAAAAACTTCATCGATGCATCATTGCTAATCATGGCATCCGTATTCGAAGAAAAAATCGTACCAATAGTACCTTGTTCGTTGATCACCATTAGGTTCGTGGCACCAGGCATTACACCATTGTGACCAATGAAACGATGGCCATTAGGCATTGTTTGCCAGTTCCAAATGAGACCATATTTTGGTGGTGGTAGTAACGATTGATTACTGGGAGAGTGAAGATCTTGGTAAGGAACGACACCGTCAACCGGTGTTCGTATTTCAACAATGGAATGAGGATGCAATATAGAAGACCCATTGTTCATAAACATGCGTAGAAATAAAGACAAAGAAACATCTGACATTCGCATAAGACTAGAAGCATAGTCTGGTATGCTAAAGAATGGAATGTGAGGCCAATTAGTAACGTTACTCTACAACAAGGCTCAAATTTAATATTACTATATAGTTATTGTCCTTTACGCATTACTTGCGTAACATCTAACTGTGGTAATTGTCGCCTCCATTCATTCAAGTAAGATGCATTGAATGCATAATGTTCAACCAACCTTTCCTTATGATGAATATCTGAAAGCTGAAAACCTGCTTCGCCAACTTTGATACCAAGCGGATTGAAAATTTTTTCTCTGACATAACGTTCGTATGGCGTTTTCGTTATTCGTTCGACAGTCAATGTAGCAAGAGATGTGCCAATATTTGAATAGAGTGATACAGTGCCTGGTACTTATGGTAGCCGATTCGATGCGTTGGAATTTAAATATGTAAAACATCTGTCAGCCAAAGATGTCTTTCGTAATGCGGCATCATCAGGTTGTATTGAAGCGAATGGCATTTCACCATTTGTATCAATGGATACTGAATGTGAAAGTAATTGACATAAAGTAATTGTATGAGAAGGATAGAATGGACGAAATATTTGTGGATCAGTGGATAATAGATAATAATTTATATCGGTATCCAGATCAATCAGATTTACTTCGACAAGTTGCATGACAGCAACGGCAACGAATATTTTAGTTATCGAGGCTAGAACGAAGATCGACATGCTCAAATCGATAGATTGTGGTAGAGAAAGAGTGTGATAGCCGAAAGCTTGTTGGTATATTATATCAGTTCCATTGACTACAATAATTGCAGTTCCTGGAATGTGAGTATCGGCTAGAGACTGTTCAATGGATGATCAAGTTCGACAATTTTTGGTTGTAGCAGCAGCAGTAGTTAAAAGAACAAACAACAGTAAAGTTAGTAACAGCATGATTGTTTGACTGCATTTTGAAGAATACTAACGTTTTATTCCAAAAGAAAATATCACGTATTGTTTGAATTGGAATTAAGTGTCGGTCTTCACTGTGTGCAAAGTTTTGATCTTTTTTCTTTGTTCTAGATACGGACTGAATGATTCATTTTTACACAGAGAGTGAGGGTGGCTGGGTGGGTGTGGGTGTGGGTGTAAGTGTTGGTGTGATTAAAGAGATCCTACACCCACACCCTATGTATGAAAGAGTTAAACGAATTATTTGTTTGGCATCTGATCGAAATTGATCATTCCAGATAGTTGACATTGATGAACTTGTTTCTATTTCAAAGGAGAGAAGCGAACATTTTTTTAAATCTCCATACCAACTATACAAGAAGCCTAAAATAAACAAAATTTTGATATACAATGCTCATATTTTATTGATAGGAGTGACACTTTCACCTTCTTTCAAAAAAGAAAGTTAAGTAGAAACTTTATGTTACATGCATGCATACGCATCACATTTCTTCACGCATTCCCTTATTTGTTTTTCTGTTTACATTCTTTGATTCTGTTTTCTCTCTCTCATCGAAGCTGTTTTTATCTTGATTTATTCTGTTAAAAACGAACGTAACGAAAGGACTAAAGAAAAGACATCTGATACTTTACTTTACTTTACTTTTTTGAAAAGAAAGTGGAAGTGCCATCCCTAATCTTCGATATTGAAATTTCATTGTCTCGAATGTGATCTTACACTAGTAAAATTGATTGATTTTGTCTAATTTAAGGTGCCATGGAGAAGAACGCTTTATGCCATGAGAATCAGCTCGTCAAGCTCTACAACCTGATATGGATATCTAAACGAGTCAATATTTGAAAAAAGACCGTTGTATATCAGTAGTGGTTTATTTTTATTACTACTATTCTATTACGATTCTCCGAGGTAATAACATATTGACATAAGCTGCACATATTCTTGCATACCTATCTGATACTTCTGCTTTACTATAATTATTTCTACTCGTTCTCAACAGAGACGATATTGAAAGATTGCGCCCGCTATAAGTAAGATGTGTTGAAATTTCTTATATACTCATTGAGAGCGGATTAAATATCACATTTTCATAAATCTCTCTACTCTTACGTGGGTGTGGGAGTAGGTGCGAAAGTACGTGAGGGTGTGGATGCGGCGGTGGGTGTGAGTCTTCTCACTCAAATCCACACTCCATCCCCACACCCACCCACCCACCCACACCCACACCCACGCCCACACCCACACCCACACCCACACCCACACCCACACCCACACCCACACCCGCACCCACATCCACACCCACACCCACACCCACACCGACACCGACACCGACACCCACACCCACATCCACACCCACACCCACACCCACACCCATCCCTACATTGTACCTTCATTATACTTCCTGCTACTACCGTTGTACTTCCATTGTGCTTCAAAATACTTCAGAACTAGATGAAGTCTCGCTATTTCTTCCTTGACTTGCACCCATACTCATGTACCCACACACCCACACCCATACTCACACCCACACCCACACCCTCACACCTACACCTACACCTACACCCACACACACATTATCTGTATGAAATTTTTTTGGATTCGAACCCGGTTATAAAAAATTTTCAGAACCAGACCCGGATCCGGACCCGATTCGTAGCTTCTCAAAAGAGATACTTTTTAATTAAACATTTCGCTATTTAAAGAAAGCTTTGGCTATTTAAAATTCTCAAAAGAGATACTTTTTAATGAAATGTTGCTATTTAAAGGATACTTTGGCTATTTAAAAGCTGTGATACTGTGTTTTTCATAGTTAGCTAGCAATTTAAACAAAATAGCAGTGACACTGAATTATTTAAATAGCTGCGTGGCTCATTGTTTTGCGTTCTGGTTTTTTTGAATTCATCCTCACATCAACCAAGCAACCTCCCTGCTCGTGGTTTATTTTGTTTTTTTCGAAATAAAAGATATTAGATGATAAAGAGATAAAATAAAAAAAAACGAATTCATCTTCACATCAACCAAACAATCCTCTGCTCGTGATTTATTTTATTTTATTTTTTTTGAAGTAAAAGATATTAGATGATAAAAAGATGAAATAAAAAAAAACAATCCATCCTGATATCAACCAAACGCAAACCCCTGATCGTAGTTTATTTTTTTTTCAAAGTAAAAGATATTAAATGATAGAAAGATTACATAAAAAAACGAATTCATTCTCACTCAACCAAACAAATCTCCACTCATGGTTTATTTTGCTTTTTTTTATTAAAGTAAAAGATATTAGATGATAAAAAGATGAAATAAGGAAAAAACGAATTCATCCTCATACCAACCAAACAAACCATGTTCTGAAGAATCAGCAAGGTAGGATGAATATTTGAGCAAAATATC